ATCACTACAAGTCTGATCTACACAGTGAGACTTTGAACACCCTGTAGACCCTTCTCTAAAATACATTTTAAAAAATCATTCAGAAGCACAGAGATACACGTTCTTGCCTGAACTGGAGAGGAGAACCAGAACTGTTCCCAGCAAGAAACTCAGTTTTCTCAAATTTATCCAGGTGCTAGTCTCAGTTTCTACCATCCAGTACCAGGGTATACGTGCACAGAATAAAGGGAACGATGCTTTGTGATAAATACCTTCACTGTCCAGGTCATCACTCTGACCAAACACACTGTCCACAGAAGAATCTGGGATGAAGGTCCATTCATCAAATTTATCAAGTACATCTTCAGGAAAGTTCCCGTCATTGCCTGTGGCTGTCCCTTCTTCATTAGCACTTTTCATCTGGTATCTGAGCACCATTCTTGCTAGCATAGATCCTATATCTAAACATAAAGAAATATACCAGCAACCTTAAAACTCACAAGTACACACACATGTATACGCATAATCTAAGCTCCTTACATTCTTATACTCCTGGAGAGCTTCCCCAGGTCACTTTGCAACACACAATGATACGGAAGGATTACCAGAATGACAAATTACATTTTTAAAAAGTCATTAGCATTTATCTAAAGCTTTAATATAAATGACAAAACTGAATTGTAAGTAGTTTGATTCAAGAAAGGGCTAGCAAGGGCAGAGACATAGCTCAGCGGTCTAAGCATCTGGCTGGCAAGTGCAGGACTGGGGTTCGATCTCCAGCACCACATGCCACACAGGCTCCACCCTGGACACACTGAGTTGCCCACCAAAACCAGGCATGGTGGCACACGCCTGTAATCCCAGCACTGGCGAGGCTGAGACAGGAGGATCACTACAAGTCCAACCTGCATAGTAAGATCCTGTACAAAAACAGAAAAAAAGAAAGGACTGGGAGCTCAGTGTGGAGCTCACATCTATGATGCCAGCACTCTGGGAGGCTGAGGCAGGAGGACTATAAACTTGAACCCAAGCCAAGCAATTTAACGAGATAACTGTTTCAAAACAAAAAACAAAGAGATGGGATGAGGCTCAGTGTGAGGGCTCTGATTTCAATCCCTAGTTCACAGGGAAGGAAGGAGGGGGGAGAACAGGAGGAGTAGAGGGGAAAGGAAAAGGGCCAGGGGAAAGAGGGAGGGGAGGGGAGCGTGAGAGAAGAGAAGAGGAGGAGGACGAGGAGAAGCAGGAGGAGGAGGAGGGGAGGAGAAGGAGAAGGAGGAGGGGAGGAGAAGGAGAAGGAGGGAGAGGGGGAGGAGAAGGAGGAGGAGAAGGAAGAGGAGGAGGAGGAGGAGAAGGAAGAGAAGGGGGAGGAGGAAGAGAAGGAGGAGGAGAAGGAGAA